GGAGGAAGAGGAAGAGGAAGAGGAAGAGGAAGAAGAAGAAGAGGAGGAGGAGGAGGAGGCGGCGGAGGCAGAGAGGAGGAGAAACAACATGTATGCATATTGAATCCCCAAGATGGGATCTTGGGGTGCTGGAGAATTCTCAAATGTGTAGGCAATGATGATTCTGATTCCAGCCTTTCAGATTGGGCTCTGAGGTTCTGCCTGTCAGTGCCAATGCAGTGCGCCTGTTGTTTACTGTACTTTGAGCACGTGTGTGTCTGTGTCTTATCCCATCAGGACCAGCCCCAGTATCAGAAAGTGGTCCTGGCTCCACCCACCCTCAGCTACCACCTGATTCTCCAAGATCTTGAACACATGGGGTCAGAAGTCCAAAACATCTTATTCTTCAACCATGCTCGGTCACATCTCTGTTTTTTATCTTTTACTAACACCTAAGTGGATCCAGGCCAGGAGAGCATGTGCTGTACATTTCCATGACTTTTTTTCTCTTGGAACCCCCCCACTTTTTTTTCTCTGTAGAAGAGTGACAGTGAGAAGAGAGAAGGAGAAAGACAGGAGCAAGTGTCTCTTGTCTTCTGTGATTGCTGCTTCTCTACTCAGTTGTAAAACCCTCCACATGACAGTCTGCTCAAAGCTGGGTCCCTGCTGGGACCAAACAGTTCTTTATCAGGCTTTTCAGGGTTTTCCTGATTCAATTCTTTGACCTTGGATGACCGGGACTTTACACCACTGGTCTTCTCATGGGACCTTTGTGACTTCCTGTGCCTGAGGTCGCCTTCTTTGGTAGTCAGCCCCTGGGGGGACACCGGCAAGACCACCAGTCCTTCTGCAGTGTTCCCTTGGCTGTCTCGATGTGGCTCTTTGCCATGGTAAGAATGAGCTTCTTCCTCTTCCTGCCCCTCCTTTTCTCCTTATCCATTTTTTTGCTTAGCTCAATGTAGAATACCCCAAGGACTCCCCTGAACAGCAGACAAAAGAGTAGGAGTCAGCTGCACCTTGCAGGTGCCCTCAACCTCACAAGCTGGCTTCACCAGTATTCAGTGGGGCATCACCCTCCCTTCTAGGATGCTCACTCCTCCTGTAACTGGTCCTGGGCCAGCCCTGCTATTATCTCCTTTACCCTGCTTTCTGGCTTCCTTTTCTCACCTAAAGAGTGGGCCTGAGGCTGGGTTTCATTTACAGAACTATTGCTAAGCCATGGAAGGTTGTCACTCACAATTGTTTGCACTCATTGTGAAATGTATTTTTGAGGGTTAGTGGTGTACCTTAGTGGTAGAGCATTTGCTTAGCATGTGTGGGGCCCTGGGTTTCATCCCTAGAACTGTGTGTGTGTGTGTGTGTGTGTGTGTGTGTGTGTGTGTGTGTGTGTGGTTACCTGGTTTCTTCTTAGTTCTCTGCTTCGCATCTGGTCAGCAATTCTGTGGCACAGCGAGAAGTTGCCCTCAATCTCTTGAACCTCAGCTACACTTGGGCCATTTTGTTGGATTGTTGCTTGTTATGGTTTGGATCTGGAATTACCACCAAATGCTCATGTTTTGGAGGCCTGGCCATCAGTATTTATGCTTGTCATTTTGGGGGATGAAACATATGAAGCTTGTTTCTCTAGTTATTTTAAAATTTATAACACATTATTAGTGACTGTGATCATCCTATTGGGTAATAGGTCTCAGAATTTATTTTGTGTCTTTCTGAAACTTTGTACCCTTTGAACAGTAACTCCTATTTCCCCTCTTCCCAACCCTGAGTTTCTTGTAACCATCATGCTATTCTACATGGTGAGTTCAACTGTTTAGATTCCTCATATAGGTGAGACCATATGTCGTATTTTCTTTCTGTGCCTGGCTTATTGCATTTATTGTAAACTCCTCCATGTACATCTATGTTGCTACAAAAGCTAGAAATTCTTCCCTTTTGAAAGATGAATAGTGCTCTGTTATGCATGAAGAAAAATGAAAGTGGATCCTTATATCGCACATTATATATGAAAACCAACTTAAAATGGGGCAAACACTCAAATGTACGGCTAGAAATGACACAATTACTAGAAGAAAATCATGGGAAAAGCTCCACGCCATTGACCTAGACAGTGATTGAGGGGGCCAGGGTATGAATGAAAAGCTCAGGCAGCCAAAGGAAAAACAGCCACTTGGGATTACATCAGATTAAAAGGCTTCTGCACAGAAAAGGAAACAGTGATCAAAGAGACATGTACAGAGGGGAGAAGACATTTACTAGCCATTCATCTAATAAGGGGTTAATAACCAAAATGCTCAAAAACTATGACAACTCAGCAGCTGAACAAAAAGTAAAGGATAAGCTGAGGCCTGCACAGACATTTCTCAAAAAATGAACATATAAATGGCCGGCAGACTTATGAAAAAATGTTTAGCATCACTAATCATTAGAGAGACGGTTACTAAAATCACAAGACTTCAGCTTACATCTGTTAGAGCCACTATTATCAAAAAGCTGAAAGATGAACTTTTGGTGAGGGAGGGTATAGAGAAAAAGAAATCCTCATATTCTGTTGCTGGGAATTAAATTTGAATACTACTTTGGAAAGCAATGTGGGTATTCCACAAAATATTAAAAATGTAGCTGCCATGAGATCAGGCTATCCCACTTGTGATACCCAAACAGCTGAGAGTACATCACAGTATTATGTACTCCCACGTTCACTGGAGCATTACTGACA